AAAATACTGTACAGTCTGTGGTTACTCCATATATTATCTCACTAGCCTTACAATTAGCATATGCAACAGACTATCTGGTCATGGAAAATGTTTTCATTCATTCAATATATATTTGCCAATAATCCCTGTGTTCCAGGCACTGTTCTAGATACTAGAAGTATAATGATAAATAAGACAGATATGGTGGCTGCAAATACTAGCACAATCACGATTACAACTCAGCTTTCTGACACATTCAAAGCAAAAGTCAAAATTTAGGAGCAAATTAAGCCAATTACCTTGAATGCTGAATAGTTTCATATATACTCAGCATGACAACATAAGGAAGTGGGGGATACTCTATTTGGTGGTATTAAAATGAAGGAATTACTTGTCAGTTCAAAAGAAAATCTACATATCAACATTTGCAATTAATTTGACCAACAGAGACCAATAGATATTATTATAAGGTAACCCTGAATTTATTACAGTTGTCAAAATAATGTAACATCTGTTACCTCCATATATTATCTCACTAGCCTTACAATTAGCATATGCAACAGACTATCTGGTCATGGAAAATGTTTTCATTCATTCAATATATATTTGCCAAATAATCCCTGTGTTCCAGACACTGTTCTAGATACTAGAAGTATAATGATAAATAAGACAGATATGGTGGCTGCAAATACTAGCACAATCACGATTACAACTCAGCTCTTCTGACACCATCTAAATTGCACGACGCAAATTAAGGGAGTTTTGTTGACCTTCAAAATAGTTGGGGTGCTTTGCTTATTATTTTACTTTTTACAGAATTAAATGAATTTTGACAATGAGGTTTCAGATGAGCTTTTTTGCTTTGCAGATATTATTGAAGCAAATAAAGCTCTATGAATTGTGGAATGATAAAATATTCACAGAAACTTACAACTCTGCAGTTGAATAACAATTACATTTGTTCCAAACAGGCAATTGGTTTCCAAACACATTAAACAAAGGCAATTTAGAAAGCTTCTTCTTCTTCCTGGCATCATTAACATTGTTGAACGTCTTGGGATTCTGGAGTGTTTCACAAAGGTAGGTGTATGGTAAGATGAACAATTTCTGAGTTCATGAAATATTGGTCTGGGAACCATCACTGAGCCACCGGGAATTTCATATGCCATGACTGGACAAATGAGCATATTACGGAAATTTAACAGATTATTCGGAGCAAGAAATTTCAATTTAGACTCCACATTTCCCATCGATTCTCATAATAAAATAGTACTTTACTCAATTCTAAAACATGTTCTAAAACAAGAGTTTTTTTCTCCACCATATAATACCACTTTAGAGTTAGAAATAACCATATTAATAATAAGAATGAATGAGTCATTACCATTAAAAGCAAATATCATTAAACAAATAGCTAGGGATCTAATGATGCTTGATATTCGAATCCCATTCAGGTCTTTTAAATCAGCAGTGACCACTTCAAGGTCAATAACAAACTGTGCAAAATCCCTTAGCTTGTCACCTGAGACCATCAGTGGCTTAATACGTATCATCTACCATCCATCCATTGCCAGCCTCTCTCTCTCTCTCTCTCTCTCTCTCTCTCCTTCTCTCTCTTTCTCTCCCTATTCCACCTTGACATATTCCTGGAGGGCTATGTGCTTTTGAGCAAATTGTCTAGTCTTTCTAAGCCTCTGTTTTTACACATGTAAAATAAAGGCAGTAATACCAACCATGTATGGGATGAATTTTGATAAAGCACTAAGCACGATGTCTGTCACGCAGCAGGAACTAAACAGATTTTCATTTTCCTTACTTCCTTGCATCCATTTATCTCTTCAGTCATTTAGTCATATATGGTCACTTCTCCCTTGCCTAATCACTATTTATTTTGTTCATCTAACGAATCTCTTTTTGAGCATCAGCCATGTACTAGGTAGCACCATGAAGTAGAAGGATGCACAGCCATTAAGTCAGTAAATGTTTAGTGCCACGAATGCTCGTGCTCTCATAGGGCTTACAGTCCAGCAGAGGAGGGAGGATTAAACCCCATGCAAGACAGAATTGAAGGCAATATAAAAAGCCTTAATGACTCCCTGAATGTTTACATTTCCTACCCTCCAAAATATCAGATTGATCCTCCACAATGTATAATTGTCCTAAATGCTGGACTCATTCTTAGATTGAAAATCAAATTAAGGGATCAGAGAGTCTTGCAGGAAGATCCAACAGGAATTTCCTCAGCTTTGCAGGAAAATGGATTTGGCAATGAATACCGAAGCTGAAGGCAAGGCCTCTCCCGACTCCATCCACTGCCTCCAGACACATAAATGATGGCCGCCTGCCAATTCTCACAGACCCCCTACTGTCTCTCAATTTTTACTTTGTATCCTCCTGTAAGGTTTGACCCTTGTCTTTCATGAAGTTATTGAAAGGCAGTCTTTAGAGTCAGGCCAGCTGAATCCAGTTCCACACCTCACTAGCGTTGCAAACTTCAGTGAGCTGTTTTACCTTGCTGAGCCTGTTTGCTTGTAAAATGGAAGCAGTAAGAATAGTAACTGCATCATAAAGTTGTTGTGAGGATGAATAATTGCTCCCAAATGTTAGCAATAATAACAATAATAATGGTCTCATACTTAGCCTTATGCTCTCTTCTCCTCCTGGACTTCTGCTGAGGTGTGGCCAAGATGATCATGACCATGGACAGAGCTCAGGTAGAACTAGACTGGAACATGAATCTATTAGCTCAGGGATTGATTCATTCATTCATTTATGCACTCATTGGACCAGCCTGCTAAGCATTGTTCCAGGCACTACAAACATAGAGTTGGACCAAGCAAAGTGCCAGTCCTACATGGAGTTAACATCTAGGGCCCAAATTAAAATATTCCAGTGTGATTCTTTCTCTGTGATCATGGAACAAGGGAGTTCCTATAAAGAAGTGAAAGATGTGGTATGAGGTACAGAGAAGGAGGTAAGAATAAAAATATACAAAGCACCAGAGATTCAAGGACCCATAGATGAGAAGGGATGAAGTGAAAATATAGGGCTTATTCAGAAATAAATCTGATTCTTACCAAATCTTCTCCATCTCTTGTCTACTTTCTTTTCTCCTACATACTTTCTTAGGGAAGGAAAAAAGAGAGGAAGAACCAAAGCAAGAACGAAAGAAATTAATTTTCCACATGTTGAGCACCTTCTGTGCCTTGGGCAGCATGCTCTGCACACACAAATAACCACATTTCATCACTACCACCTCTCTGTTACACAGACCTTATCACTCTCCTTTATAAATAAGAAAACTAAAATGCAAAGCTAGTTAAGTAAATTGACCAAGTTCACATGACTAGGATTCAAAGCCAGATTTGGTTATCTCCAAAGCTCATGCTCCCATTTGTCTATACCGTGTTGCTTTTAAATGCCTGAGAAGAGCCCTCTTCTTGCTCTCTGACAATCCATAACTCTGGTGGGTTGGGAGAAGACTAGTCTCTTTAGTTAAAGTAACTACACCCACTACCACCTGTTGATCAAGAACCCCACAGGAAAAGAATGGGTGTCACATGTCAGAAGAAAGGAAAATCTGCCTCCAGAGATTAACTAGCACCAATGACATCAGTGCAAAGGCACATGTTGCCTTGGGGATCTATTGGCCACTGGGATTGGACAGGCCAAGTCAGAAACGCTCAGCAAGAAACAGTATGGAACCTGGGGGAGAAAGATCAGCGTCTGCAATGAGGAGTGGGTGATTCCGATTTATTTCTATAATATATTGACTGTTATTGTCAAGCAATAATGAACAGCAAGCATGCAAAGAAAATAGGAGAAAGCACCAGTGTCCCCAGGACAGATTATTGAAACATACTATTTAAAAGTCAAATAGTATTTAATCTCAGTACACATCTAATCACAATCCAATCTTCATCAAACCCAAAGTTTTATCTGTTCAGAGCCAGGTAATGGTGGCAAATCTATCAAGAACAGGGGAGTGCTGACATATTCTTGTCTCCAAGGACAATGGATTCATTGAGAAACAACATTTTCACCAATGTACCGATAGATTTAGGTCTCTGTTAGCACCCAAAGCACCCCTCCCCCCACCAGGCTCATATTAGGGTGATAACGCAATCCCAGCGTAAGTCCTAGAACCAAACCAACCTTGTCAGGGTTACTGTAACATCACCTCAGATGCCCAGCTGAGTACAGTTAGGAATTATCCATAAATGTCAAACCAGATTTACTTCTCACATGTACCAAAAAAACAAAAACAAAAACAACAAACGAAAAAACCCCAGCCTTGCCGTTGTCTGAATTGGAGCCTCCATGATCAAATCTGAAATAGCGCAATGGTGACATGTCATACCCGAGGCTCTTCAGTTTAGGAGTGAAAGAAGTAGGCAGATGAAATGTCTTTTCCTTGCTAAAAGGGATTGGGTAAATATGTCTACAGTGCTTAATATAAATATGTATCCCACACTGGATACTAAAATAAAAAGTAATTACAGGTGTTTCGGGAGGGAGGGAGCAGGAGAATGTTTGTTTTTATAACTTGGCACTGTTGTCCCTCCAATGTTATAAAACATATCTTAAAAAGTTAATATCATTGCACGTATTTTGTCAAAGATACCAGTAATCTTTTGTGCATAAGCTGTAACAATTATTGAAAGTGACATAAATCAGAGACAAATGACCGGAGTTATTCAGGTAGTATTCATTCTCTTACACTAACAGTTATTTTTAGCAATATATTGAGAAGGAAAAGAGGGCAAAATTAGCTCTGAACCCTTCACAAATCAAAAATAGATGGCTGACCCCAGAGACTTATGTGTATATGATAAAATTGAACATATAGCCCATATTCATTGGTTCATTCAAAAAATATCTATTAAACATCTATTATATATCAGGCACTGGTCTAGGCACTGCAAATAGAGCAGTGACTAAACCAGTCTCAAATGTTATCCTCATGGAGCTTACTCCAAAGCGTTCAAGAAAATCAGTGCCTTTCGAGTCAACGTGCCACAGATGAAAAAGACCGAGATTCAGAATAATTGAGTTCTGGTTCCAAATCCAGGCTCTACCAACCACTGTTTATATGAACCTTAAGGAAGTTATTTAACCTCTTGGAAACTTCAGTTTCCCAATCCGTGAAATGGGATGATTCCATCCCACCCTAGCATGGTGCCTGGTACTTAGAAGACAGGAAAGTAGGTTTATCTGAGGGTTGAGGGTGGAGAATGCACATTCTAGAAATATATTCATGGATTCGTTCTTTGACAATGGTGTTTTACACCTAGTCTTGGCACTGAATGTACAAATCCCCAGTGTATCTGATAAACCTTTCATGAATCCTGGCCGCCGTGAACTCTGTGAAGCAGTCTCCATGCAGCTTGCAAAAGGGCGCCCCCTAAAGGTCCTTGTGAGACACCTTGTTCTATACTCTATAAAAGGAACACTCCTTTGTCCTGTTATAAAGACTGTTTCAGTGAGCAGCGCTCTTAAATAATCATCAGTGTTGTGCCAGTATCTATGAGCCCATCATAAAATGTAGACAAGCCCAGGGAGAGACCAAATGATTTATCAAGTCATCTGCATCTGGTCCTAAGAAAAGCTTTCTTTCTTTCTTTTTTAGATATTGTAATGTAAATCATTTTAATGCCCAGAACATCAGTGGAAGTAATCTTGAAGAAACACTTCTCCTCCACGAAAAGTCTCTGAAATTTTATGGCAGTATACAGGAATTTTTTTCAAGTATTGATCTTTGGGAGACAGCCCTATGAAATGATATTTGAGTCTACCTGTCTTTTGAGCACAGTATTCTTCCTTTTCTTCTTTGGGTGAACACTCTCTGTGTTTTAGTGTAAGAGCCAAAGTATATGGGCATGACTTTATGAATATTATCTGTGTACTTTATTTACGAAAACTAATGATTGCCTTTCTAGTATTCTGTTATACTTTTGCATTAACACCACAAGCATTAGAATTAATAAAGCAATTTCAAAATCTAAGTGATTATGACAAGAAAAATGATGATTTTCTATACACCAATGGTATTTTTAAACTTTTACAATGGTTCGCTGTTAAAAACAACATATATGACTTTTTTTTTCAGTTTTATGAGTCATTAGAAGCAAAATAATAGTATGTAGGCCGGGCGAGGTGGCTCACGCCTGTAATCCTAGCACTCTGAGAGGCCGAAGCGGACGGATTGCTCGAGGTCAGGAGTTCGAAACCAGCCTGAGCAAGAACGAGACCCCGTCTCTACTATAAATAGAAAGAAATTAATTGGCCAACTAATATATGTATATATATATATATAGAGAGAGAGAGAGAGAGAGAAATTAGCCGGGCATGGTGGCACATGCCTGTAGTCCCAGCTACTTGGGAGGCTGAGGCAGTAGGATCGTTTGAGCCCAGGAGTTTGAGGTTGCTGTGAGCTAGGCTGATGCTATGGCACTCACTCTAGCCTGGACAATAAAGTGAGACTCTGTCTCAAAAAAATAAATAAATAAATAACAATATGTTAATATTCTTTCTTTCAATACCTTTATTGAACCCTCATTACATGCTAGGCATTGTGACCATATACTGTACACATCTGAGTAAATAATAAACATTTATGTGATTTTGTTATATTTAATCTTGATATTACACCATCAAGATATGACTTAAGGAAATTGTCTCTGAATTAAGAAGCAATGTTATTAAGACAGATGTCCTTAACAAAGAGCATAAGAGAATATCCACATACTGAAAAAGATGAAAAGTTATTATAATGATGGGATTGCTGAGATAAAAGGAAAGAATAAAATTAAGGAAGATAAACTGAGTTCTGAAAGGACGAGAAGGTAAGTGACCCAACCAAATAGAAATGTTTAAAGGAATTATACAAATGACATCTTTTGGTCTCTACCACCAATTCAGACACACTCAAAAAATCACCTTCTAAAAGAGTTTCTTTGTTATAAGCAAAGAAATGTATAAATTCAATTTTTAAAATAATCAAGTAAAACTAACGTCTGTACCTTTATAGCAGCGTTCATCAACATTTGATTGAGGACCATCTGCATTGGGTGAATCTTTCTGGCCCCTACACAGACTGCCTTAACCCAAATCTTTTCCCAGATTGGGGCCCAGGAATTGATGGTTTTAACAAGCACACCCAAATCATTCTTATGTTCCCTAAAGTTTGAGAACCACTGCTTTCTGGGACAAATCATGCTAGATAGGATAGGTGGGTTTATCAGCTGACTGCAAATGACTCTGCAATTAAGCACCTCCCTTGTGTATACATAAAATATTTTAGATCTGTAGAATAAAAGATTTATTCAACTTGATTAGGTACGATATGCATTTTTAATTGCAAAAGAGCAGCTGTAAAGCACCAGGTGTTTCTCTTACTCAAACTATTTTTTGTTTAAGGACAAATGAAAAGACTAGCTCTTACCAGGCATAAATTCTTTGCCTACAACTTTTGCAAATCCACCTTTGTTTTAGCATTTGTTCCCTGGGAAAAACAGCAAAGGCAGATCCCTGGTATGCCTGAGAAGCTTTCCTCGATGCAAAGGTCAAATGCCAAGTTTGCAATTTGGGTTTATAAATAACACCCAAAAGATCAAGAAACCTCTAAACACCTCAAATCAGAACAAGTGGGAAACGGTCTCTCTCCCTGTTAGAAAAAAAGAGTCTGTTTCATTGTCTTCTCCTCCACGCCAGTTTGCCTTCATCTGCCTAATTTCTACATCATAATAGGAAAAGATGCTCATTATGCTTTCCCTTGTCCTTAGAGAAGAAAGATGTACAGAATTACAAAGTTGACCCAAAGCGAACACCAAAGGAGCTTAGAATTCTCACATTGGCGTTGACACTCGCGATTAGCTAAATTGCAGTAACTATGCAGGTTTCCATTCGGAACAGGAGGCATTCACACAGCAGTTTCTTCTCTAGTGCCTAGCAACATTATCATTGAGCACCTGGAATAGTTTAGGCATTAAGTGTAATTGGTTTTGCTTTACATAAATCTGTAGCTTTGTAAATAAGCAGAGCATTTCAGCTTCCATATAACACCAATTAACTTAAAGGGATGCGTTGTTTGCAGAAGCCTGCTGGGTTCCGTACTGTATTTCTCTGGTAATATGCTCAGTGGCAGGCAAAGTTCTGGGTCCCTGCAGTGTTCCATTTACTCCAGTCACTTGGTGCCAAGGGTCTATACCCAGCCACTCATTTGCTCCATTTTTCACTGGTGGTGAAAGGTTGGGAAAGTGAAGTCTTCCCTAAGAAACGCCTTCTGTGTTCTGTTTCCTGTCCATGATCAAGGCCTGAAAGGCAAGGTATTTGAAAACGTTTTCTGTGACCCAGAGAACACAGGTCTGACCCCATCTGATTCTGTCCACAACTGACTGCGACATCTCTTTTCTCTTTCTTTTTTTCTTGTAACACTTCAATCCAGTGCAGCCAAAAGTCACTACATTGAGCCTGTACACAAAATTTAGAAAACCATATTTTTATTACATGAATTTACAAATGAAAATGTTTTCATTAGAGTGACTTTTTTTTTTAATAGCACACAGTAACATTCAGCGATCTGCTCCTGGAAGTGAGTACATTTTTCCAAGCTCCTTAGAAATTTTTCCTTTTTTTCTCTTTACTTGGCTTAATCCTGTATCTCTCATATCCCCTTCAAGGTAATCTTGATTTATAGCATTCATTCCACCCTGGCCAACCTCTAATTCTCATGGTTTCCGAAAGCGTTTTATCAACTAGCAGAGTAACAGCATCACCAAATAACAGCTCATGATTCCAGAAAGTTTCCTATTAAAATTGTGTGATTTACAAATGGAAGGAGAGAGAATAATCTCTTTTGAAAACTATTGAGATCTCTTCTTCTATGGAAACAGAACTTCTGCATTGGTACCGTGAACCGGTGTGGCAACTGGGCATCTCCCTTCTCCACTGTAAGAGAAGCCAGCATATAGTTAGTTACCGGTCACAATTTTACGGGGAAAGCCCTCAAATACAATCAGCAGCCAAGCGATGACAGCACACAGGTGCTGCTAAACTTCAGGTCTGCTTGTAGAAAGCTGGGAAGTTAAACAATTAATAGTAACAACTCATATCTATGTCACCTTTTACACATTCTCAAGTTGCTGTCACACACATCATCACATTTGATTAGCACTACCATGCTGGGAGGTAGGCACACTTTAGCACGCCCATTTTGTAAATGAGGAATTGCAACTCTTTAGAAACATGAAGTGACTTATCTCAAGAGTCACAGAGATAGTAGGTGGCACAGACAAGACTTGAACGTTGGTCTGCCTGTCACTAAAGTACCAGCTCCTTCTACAAACAGCACTCATAATGTCACCAAGAATGGGTCATCCCCAACTACTTAGGCAAAACCCTCTCTACATCATCCAAAAGGAAACAAGAATCAGAGTGAAGATTATGTCAGGGTTAGAAACCCGGACAAAATGCTTAACAAAAGCAAGAACTTTTCTAACATCTCTTCTCCCTGGCTCAGCTCTCCCTGTGGGGCCACGCACTGTCCTCGCGTGGACCTCAGGCAATCAGAAGCACCTACCCAGACTGAACACCTTGGCAGGGAAGGGGGTCTCAATCTCAAACCCATCCTTTCCTTCTCCTTTCATCAAAATGACCTGGAGGTGCTACAGTCAATATCAAACTGCCTTAGAAAAAAAGCTATTTGAGAAAAAGAATTTTACTCAAAAAATATTATTAAAAATTGTGAAGACTCCTGTAGTACTTGCTAAGTGCAAGGCATTGTTCTAAGTTTGTTGTTGTTGTTGTTGTTGTTGTTTTCTGGTATATTAGCTCATTTAATCATCACAACAACCCTGTAAGTTAAGTACAATGGTTAACTCCATTTTATAGCTAAGAACACGAAGGACAGAGGAGTGAATAACTTTCCAAAAGTTACACGGCAGCATGGGCAGAGTCGAGATTTGGCCCCAGGGAGTCCGGCTGCACCATCTGGGGGTGGCTCTCTCTGTATAACTGCCTCTCTGTGCAGATGTTACCTACAGCAGGCTTTTCTTTGTTCCCAGGGGTATTCCAAGGAAGACAATGCCTTAGCCCAATCAACTGCAGTCTTTTTCTGTCTCAATACACAAGAACACAACTCCTTCCATCAGTAATTACTGGATTGAAACAACATTGATTCTCAACATCCCTACATTGTGTCCTCACTCTCCTTTTGTGAACAATTACTATATCCTGCTTACAGGTGAAAGTAGACAGATGTTATGAAAAGAATAAATATTTTACCAGCAACACCCAGGAAGATGAGAGGAGACAGGTAGTTGGGTAATTTGAGGCAGCAATTGTTATGATAAGGCAAGGAAAAGAGTTTGTTAATGGTGTGAACAGTGAAGAAGTGAGGGAAGGGACCCAAAGGTATGGCTCTCAGGGCAAGATTTCAGGTTCTGTGGCGGTGAGTGGTCACATCTATTTAAAAATGGTTGTAGGGGTACTTTTCCAGTGTTTCTCAAATCACAATGTAAGCCATCTGTTTCTCATATAAAGCAGTCATAGTTAGATCAAGATGGGAACCATAGGGTAGCTAGGCTTTCTGCTTCCCTAACATCTACATAGACATTCTAGACATTTCCTGGGATTCCTCCAGCCCTGTTCTCCGGTGAATGTAAAATTATCAAAGATAATCAAAGAGATAGTGATGACCAGACTGTCTCTTCCTCTCTGTCTCCACCTCTCTCTCTCTCTTTCTGGCTGTGTGTCCAACTAAGGCCATTGACAGTAGAATGGATGCTATTCAACTGCTGGGATCATTTCCCCAGGTGATGCACTGTCACTAGTCCACACAGACACTTTATTAACTAATAATAGCACCTAAACCC